TGAGCGTGATTGATGGTGAGCGTGATCGATGGTGAGCGTGATTGATGGCGAGCGTGATTGATGGCGAGAGTGATCGATGGTGAGTGTGAAACGGTTTGGTGTACACGGTCCCTCAGGTAATTGTAAAAACAATTACAAGGCAGCAACAAATTGATCTTTTATACATCTTTTGTAAAATATTAAAGAAGAATATTTTTTGCTGGAAACCATTCCATAATTAAATACCCTTAAATTTTTGAACCGATTTCTTGCTTTGCAGGCTTCAATCCTTCTGTCTGAAGAATCTGCTATAATTTGTGCTAACCCATATCTTGAAATGTTTTTCTTGTTGTTCTGTAAAGTCTTTTTTTCTCGCATCAGTCATGATGACATATAAAGTTCACCTGTACCTGTTTACAGAAGTTCCTCACACAGACTTCAGAAGAAAGATGTATTTCAGGCAGATCTTTAGAAGATTGATCCGGTTGTGGGAGGAGTCATGTCAGATCAGGTGTGTTTGTTGAAACTGCAGGTGAAGGGCATTATGGGACCTGTGCTGAAGGCTTGTTAGATAAACTCTTGGATTAGATTTAGAGATGATTATGACGATGTTTTCAAATGCCTGTAGTGGATTAGAGCAGAATGGCACATCGCATGAACACACACAGACCAGTGTTCGAAGACCAGCATGCCTCACCCAGTATCGATTATCATGTTGGTCTTCAACTTGAGCATCACCATCGTGGAGTGGACGTTTCTCCTGTACGAACTCATGAGGATAAAATCAGGAGATCCAAATGAAGTGCATCCAGAATAGAGGAGATCCACAGCAGTGCAGTAGCATGAGGAGTTTAGTGTTAGATCACGTAAGAAGGTAAGAGCTGTGTTTGAGTTACAGTGTTTATATATGTGTGAGGTGTGTGACGTGTGGTGTGTGTGACAGATGTGAAGTGTGTGAAGTGTAGGGGTGGGGGAAAATATCGATTCTTAGATGCATCCCGGTGCGGATGTGGACGATTCTGAATCGATTCGCAAATGTCCAAAATCCATTTTATTATTATTTTTTTTTTTTACGATTTATATTTAGAATAACGCAATATTGCCGGGAGCGCGAATGACGTAACTCTGAACCGGGGAAGTGCAGTGGCTGGACCGTCTGCGGCGTGCACATAATGCCTGGCTCACACTACAGGAGTTTTAGGCTTATTTATGCCCGATTTACCCCTCACGAGGATCGGAGGAAAAATCTTATTGATTACCTCGATCGGTTCCGATGTTTGGCACAGATTATCTGGTAATGTGAGGCTTTCTCAGATCGAATCTTGCACCTCCCGATCTAACGTTACTCTCTAACAAATCGGGCTCGCCCCGGTATCAAACATGTTTGATAATTATCGGGATGCGCAAGACTGTGATTACCGTCAGTACTGTCTACACAATAAGAAACGAGTAGGGCTGTCCTGGTAAAGGAATTCCCATTGTTGTTATTTTGAGTGACTCAACAGCGCGATATGCGATATTATCTTCATTTATTTATTTATTGCTAAATAAATAAGTGTTGTGCTGTGGTCAGCAGGCACGAAGACAAGTATATGTTCAGTATAATGAAACCGAAACTAAAAAGCTCATTGGAGAAGATACAGTGTCAAAATAAGGGTCCACATAATATAATCACAGAACATAAATCTGATAATAAGCTTTTTATGCCATTGTTGTATAACAGTTCGTTTCGATCCTCGAATCTCACTTTACCAAAGGCTTTCTGCTGATATTTTACCACTCGGCATTGCTCGTCTCTGCAGTTACATTGTTACACCACTAGGTGACGACAAGGGACTGTCTTTGATTGAGTCGTTAAACCGTTCATTCAACGGAAATGTAAAAAATGTGGATTCATTCAAATATATATCTAATGAAACAAGCTGTCATTTATTTTAATATTTAATTTTAAGTTTGAGCTCCACTTTACAAGGCTCAGCGGAGCAGCAATGCGGCGCATGGGCAACTCGAAGCTGATGCTTCACTTCATAGAGATCAATGGCCTGTTTTGTGTTTTCATTGTATTGACCAGAGCTGACGCCATTCATTAGAAATAGCCTAACCTTAAATGTTAAAAGGATGATTGAAAAATGGTCACGGCAACCTTTTCACAAATATGACTTGATATGAGGGACAGATATTTTGTTTGCATCCACTTTTCTGCTTCCGATCTGCTGCGTGAGATCACGTGAGCCGCTTCGTCTGGCACGATAATCTTAATAACATTGTGTAGTGTGTGGTGTGTGTGACGTGTGTGTGACAGATGTGAAGTGTGTGGTGTGTGTGACGTTTGAACACCACACACAGATGTTAACATGTGACAGATGTGAAGTGTGTGACGTGTTAGGGTTATTCTTCACATTATTCTCTCTCTCCCTCTCTCTCTCTCTCTCTCTCTCTCGGGTGGGTTAGATGGGAACCTCTAGTGATTTTTTCTCATAATCATGGGAATGTTGTGTCCGCTGGATTCAGGATTTGATTAAAACAGGCTTAATCTGCGGCTCCTGTAATCCAGCAGAGATTGTTATAGCCTTTATTTCTCTGTGCTGTCCCGTACGTCTCTGTCTCGTTCTCGTCTTCCGCGCGGCAGGTTTGTTGTTTAGCAGGATCGAGTGTTGGGAGAGTGAAGCGATGGTCATGGCCTCGTTCCTCTCATCTCACACTCGCCGTTCTCTTCAGTCTGACGACTCGTTTAGTCCGGGTCGTTCTCTTCAGTCTGACGACTCGTTTAGTCCGGGTCGTTCTCTTCAGTCTGACGACTCGTCTCTGTTCCTGGACTTCCGGCCTCCAGCTCGCGACTCCTTCTCTCTCCCGCCTCATGTGTTGTACGTCACCGCCGGCCTGCTTCTGGTGCTGCTCGCCACATACGCCATCGTGGGTCACCTGATCGACGACCTGCTGCACGACCTGGCAGGTACCCTGTGACATGATGCCATCCTTCTTATGATGTAACCAGTACATCAGGATTTACGGGACGTGTTCCCGGTTCCGGCTGATCTAATATTGACTTAAATAATTGGATAGTGTGTTATGTGCATGCTAGGTCAAAGAGATGTGTTTTAGTCTAGATTTGAACTGACAGAGTGTTTCTGCTTCCCGGACAATGTTAGTGTAACGTCACCAGCTGGGGTGCCCTTGAGAGCCACAAGAGGGCACTCCACATCAGACTATTGTCATTCCCTCACAAACTACATTTCCCATAACTCACTGCCCGGACTCATCGTCCCATGATTGCATCCACGTGTGTCTCATTACCTTGTTAGTCTGAGCCCATTTAAACCGTGTACACTCATTCATTCCCTGTGAAGTCTTGTGTGTTGTCTCAGTGCCTTTCCGAGTGTGTTTGTACCCTGTTTGTCCTCTTGATTTTCGGCCTGTTCCCTCAGATTTCTCTCTGGCTTCAGCCCTAATCTGTTATTGTTTAGGTTGTTTGTTTGTGTACGACCCTTGCCTGTTATTTGGATTATGTCTTTGGTTTACCCTGTTCAATAAATACTGCATTTAGATCCTCAAGAGCAGTTTGTGACCGTTAGGAAGATTGTTCCAGAGTTTTGGTGCTAAATAGGAAAAGGATCTCCCGCCTGCAGTCGATTTAGATATTCTAGGTATTATCAACCGGCCGGAGTTTTGAGATCGCAATAGACGTGAAAGACTATAATGCGTTAAGAGCTCGCTCAAGTACTGCGGAGATAAACCATTCAGTGCTTTATAAGTAATCAGCACGATGTCAGAGCCCGTCTAACGGAGAGCCTTGGCACTTCCTATTAGCCCGTTGTGGATCATCTTGGTTGCAGTTCATTATAATTCCACTAGAGGTGATCACGGGCGCTAAAGTCTATGGGGCTAAACGGCTAAATGTGTCTCTTTCACCTGCTTGTCGTTAAATTAACAACGATTTTATTGTTGATTCTGCAAGTTCAATATAGATTATAGGCCAAAAGTGGAATGAACGAGTACTTATGTGCTTTTGATTTCTTACAGGTTAGGCTCTCTTTTTTTCTGACAAGCATCAGTGTATCCGGCTGCTAGTGTGATACAATCTCTTTTTTCACCTAATAGATGTTGAAATTGTGTTTTGTTGTTTAATTATATGAAATTATGGCAAAGTTTCTAATTTTGTGTAAATAGTCCCTCTGATGTCCTCATAGTTGGGCAGCTGGAGAGGAAGTGTTGCTCGGCCTCCACTTCTCCCTGCTCACAGTACGGGCAGACACACACACACACACACACACACATGAACTGGTTTTCTCTCTCTCTCCTCAGACTGTGTCTTCGGCCCTAAAGCTGAAGCTGATGAGAGCGGCAGTGAAGAGGAGGAGAAGGTCGAGATGGAGGACGAGCGAGGCGGTCCACTGCCGGGATTCAGCAGCACAGAACACCTTCAGCATCACTACATCACATCCCTATGAGTCTCCACTGTGTGTGTGTGTGTGTGTGTGTCTGCTTCACATCCCTATGAGTCTCCACTGTGTGTGTGTGTGTGTGTCTGCTTCACATCCCTATGAGTCTCCACTGTGTGTGTGTGTGTGTGTGTGTGTGTGTCTGCTTCACATCCCTATGAGTCTCTTTAGTCCGTGTGTCTGCTGTCGTTACTCTGGTTTAACAGTTTCCACCTGTTTATAAGAGACCAGATGCTGTTTCTGCTGCTGTAGAGATCAAGTCTTTATGTATGAACAGAGGGTGTGTGGTCCTGTGATGTCATCTATGTAAATGAGATATAGAATTAAAGCCTGTCCTCGTTAAGAACCAACAGCTCGTGTCTGATTCATCTTCATAAACTCTAGATTATTCTAATGCCTGATTGGGTCAAAACAAACATGAGTCTCGTTCAGCTTTCATTCATTTCTACAGGACAGAATTATTATGTGTAAATGTTGTAGTGTAACTGTGTGAACGCTGTGAGGCGCTATTGCGTCACCATCTGTAATAGATACACACACACACACACACACACACACACACACACACACACACCAGTAAAGCCAGTTCAGTTCAACCACATGCGGTTTCCTGTCATCATCACTACATGACATGGTGTCAGAAGTTATTAAAATGATAAATGATGGATGAGCTGAAGCCGGGAGCTCTGTGCTGAACTGGAGATGTCGGATCCACTGTATCGCGAGTAAGAAGAGTACGAGTAAGATTTCTCTCAGAGAAATCGGAAAAATAAACTTTAGCTCTTTTCTTCACGTGGCAGGAGACAATGCGATCAAGGTATTCAAAACGTTTACATTTAATGATGATGTTGAGGACTTCGAGACATTAAAACAAATACTGCGAACCGATAAAACCTGATATAGGATATTCAGTTTGTTCTTTATTAGAGCACAGAGTCGACTGATGCTTTGTGACGTACTTAAAGAATAAAACGGAGGATATACACACATTACAGCTAGACTAAAAACACATCTCTTTGGCCATACACATGACACACTACAGACTTCAATGTTAGGCTGCATACTTTAGATCAGCCGGAACCGGGAACACGTCCTACAACACCTGATGTACTCGTTGCACCATAAGAAGAATGGCGTCTACGCTAATATTAGTCTCTGTTTATCCCGAGGTTTTCCGCAGTCCGTTTCCAGATCTGATGAAAGATAGTGATGTGCCGTTCATGAACGATTCGTTAATTTTGAACGAATCTTTAATATGACTCGTGACTACCAAGTTGTCTCAGAGTGATTCATTTTGTGTTGACCGATTAGTTCTCTCTCGATTCTTCGGGTTCGGACGGGTCCAAATCTTTCCTTCTTCCTGTCAGTCCCATACAGTGTCGGCGCTAATGGTGGGGCCCATAGACTATCCTGTCTGTACCGGAAAGTGAAATGATGAGTTGAACTTAAGACCCAACTAATAAATTAACATTTCGGTTTCTTATCATCTGACTTTGGCTGCATTACCCTGTAGTTTATTTTTACTTATATTTTTCTAATATAATGAACATTTTCGTAAGTAGGCTATTTGATGTTTTAGGCTATTTAACATGACAATTTTTATCATCTTCTGCTGAAATTAACAAAATGAATGAATTATCCCGACGTTTTATCTGCAGTTTAAATGAGGGTGACTTGACCTGATTGTGAATTTGGAGAACTAACCGAGTCACTGATAAGGGACCGAAGTGTTTGTGGTATTACAAATGACCAGATCAGATGCAGGTTCGGGAACCCGATTTATCCCTGCGCAGGTCATCAATAAAATCAATACATTACAGCAAATGCTTCATCCTCTGTGGCCACCGAACACATTATGGTGTCCCTCAAGGCTCAATTCTAAGTCCTATATGGTTTTCTTTGTACATGTGTCCTTTGGGTTCTATTGGTCGTTGCTTTTGACATTTCCTATCATATGGAGATGACACAACCCAGACAGCAAACTGACATTGAATCAACGTGGAAACGACGTCTCTCATGACATTGAAACAACGTTGATTTGCTCATCGAATTAACGTTGAACCAACGTCAGACGCGGCATTCTTCAAAGCTAATGAAAATTGAAAATTGGTTTGCTTTCATAACGTTGAAACAACGCGTTGATTTCAAGTTGATTTTCCGTTAGTTTTGAAAGAATGACGCGTCTGACGTTGGTTCAACGTTAATTTGATGAGCAAAACAATGTCAGATCAACGTTGTTTCGATGTCATATTTCCACGTTGATTCAATGTCAGTCTGCTATCTGGGAAAGATTTATCTAGCTCTCAAAGTCAGGAACGAGCAATACCTCAAATTCTTGTTGGAAAGTTTGGCTGTCTAAAAACTTTTTTCAACTTAATGAAAAAAAGTCTGAAATTATAATATTTGGTCCACCAAAATTCAAAGAGGAGAGAGCCAGTACTCTTGCTTTCATTAGAAAAGATAGTGTAGAAATCTTGGTGTAATAATTGGATTAAAACGCTTCTGACTGGCACTGCAAACCAGGACCACATTACTCCAGTATTATCCTCTCTTCAGCTGCCGGGATCGAATCGACAGGAGCGATTATTAGATTATATTAATGTTTTTTAAAGCACTGCATAACAAATTACATTGCTAAGGATCTTACATCTCAGGTAGGACATTAAGATCATCGAACCAACTTTTGCTGGCTGTCCCTTATTGAAAGGGTGACCGAGTTTTTCCAGTTGTGGAACAGTCTTCTTCTTCATAAATGTCTTTATATAACTGTGAAGCACTTTGGGCAATGTTGCTATGAAATGAGCTATATAAAGAAATAAAAGTTGAAGTTGAAGCTTTACAACAGCAGGAAAACACTGTCGAGAGAATCAAATCTGACATCAGTGACCGATTTACACACGTTATATCTGTCATTAATAAAGTCAGCTTCTGTGTCTGTGTCAGGACATGCTCTCAGCTCACGATTAACCATAAGCAGTCGCTAATCCGTGTCAAAGCTGGATAATATCTGCTGATAAAGCCTTTGACCTTGACAGTCTCAGCCAATCACAGCACAGCACAAGCGCGTTCATCGACTCGTCGTCTTCATGATTCACTCATTACTGAAGACCTAGAGGAGAGACACAGTCCGAGCTTCATCCAGGCCTGGGCACACACTCGTCCGGTGAGTATCAGCTCCACATTTTCACAGCGCTCCTGTGTTTGACGTGTCTACAGGGAAAAAACTCTATAAATAGATGTTAAAAAAGTAAGTCTTTTGAGCTTATTGAATATGTGTGCTGTGAAACCATCAAGATATATCATGACTTGTAAGAAATGCTCTGTGAAATCCAGCGTTTAATGTTGTTTATGTGTCTGTGGTGTTTTTAATATTCTTTAACACACACCGTGTGTAAGTTGAGCTGAGTATTTCCTCCTTAAAACTGCAGTGAACCAAAGACAGTCTCAAAAACACGCTGTGAAGTCGCTGGTGTTTCTGACGTCACAAACCACCTCGTAACCAATCAGATCCACGTGTGATCGTCCACCAGTGGATCTCTGGGTGAGTGAGTGGAGGCGGGGCTCATCTGCATATTCATAGAACCATGCATACTAAATGAGGCGAGGGTGTCGAGTTACATTCAAGATATTTTTTTTTAAGGGATCCAATCATTGTCCACAGGGGGACTTACACTGAGATGTGCTGAACTCCTTGATGAAGTTTTCTCCACTCGAGGGTGATGTCGGTCCCGAGCGAGACGGCTCTACTGCCCCCCGCAGGCCAGGAGGAGGTTTTCTTCAAGACTTACATCCCACCCGCTCGAGACGCCATTCATCTGCCCATTCACATCTTCTACATCATCCTCGCTTCCATCGTGATAGTGACGACGCTCTACGCCATCATCGGACACCTCATGAAGGACCTGCTGCACGACCTGGCGGGTGCGCGTTCACATCTGTACTTCTGATGCCATTACTGACAGGCTTTTATTATCTCGTCTAGATGTGAATATACTGTAGTGTACATGCTGTAAGAATAGCCCAAAGATCTGATCTGATGAAGCCAGTGACTAGTTCAGAAGTGTAGTTTACAGTTATTAACAACGCTAACTAAATGGCTAGATTAAATATAGCGTAGCTTCATCAGAAGTGCTGAGATGAGATGTACAGTCAGTAGAATAAACTGCAGTTTCTTTCTCATTGATTGTGAAATTTACAAGCAAATTCCAAGAGAAAATTGTTTTAGCAAATTTCCAGTGATTGCCTTGGCAGTAAATTACAAAGACTCGTTGACGCTGCTGAGTGAGTGTTCCCTGTAATTTCTGTAATCAATATTTTTACCCTCTTATAGAAATGGGAGCAAAAACTATATCTGTTGTGGTTTCCGTTCGCCACTATACAAGTTTATGAAGAGAAACCCTCTCCATCTCCTGGCCGGGGTCAGAGGTCAGCTGTCCCGGCTCCTGGCCAGGGTCAGAGGTCAGCTTATCCCGGCTCCTGGTCAGGGGTCAGCTGTCCCGGCTCCTGGCCGAGGTCAGAGGTCAGGTGTCCTGGCTCCTGTCCAGGGTCAGAGGTCAGCTGTCCTGGCTCCTGTCTGGGGTCAGAGGTCAGCTGTCTCGGTTTGTCTCCTCAGATTGCCTGTTCGGGCCTCAGCCGGAGGAGGAGGAGATCAACCTGTGCGAGAACAAAGACAAGTTCATGGTGGACTGGTGTCCGGAGAGCAGCCCGGAGCTGGAGGAGATGGCCCGCGCCGAGGAGATCCGTGTGCTGATGGAGGGAGGCCGCTTCACCCCGGCCGTCTGGGTCATCTCTGACGGCACCGAGCCCAGAGCGCCCCGGACCGGCCCGCGGGTCGCCTTCGGGAAGAACGTGTAGAGTCCGATACAGCGGAGATGCTCACAGGATGTGCTCACGGGTCCTGCTCGGGGTCAGTGGAGCTGTCGGGACGCCCCCGCTGGTCTCCGCCGGTACTGCGCCTTCCCAGGATCCTCTGCAACAGTGGTTTTCATGGATCCTGGTTCTGGAGACCAAGTCTAAAAGTCTAAAACAAGAAGAAGATCCCCAGACAGCAACATAGTGTCGGCCCAGATCTGGCACGCGTTGAATCCACATCGGATCTGGGCCGACACTGGCTACGTTTACAGGGAACCAAATCATCCGTTAATAATGTATTGACGGCTCAATCGCACTGAAAAGCCTTCATGTAAAACACCTTGATCGCCCCGGTTGAGCTCGGGCCCAATGAGATTTCGATCAGATTGTTCATTCCTCTTCTAATCCCAGAGAACATATGAACACTTGATCGGACTGAAAGACTGCGCATGATGTAGGAAACTCTGTGTATTCGTGCAAGTCAAGTCTCATTTATTTGTAAAGCCCTTTCAACTAGAACGTAGACCAAAGGACTGTACATCTCAAAACAAATAAAAACGTACAAAAGGTAAAAAGAGAGAACAAGAAAGACACAATGCATAATAACAAAGTCAAGAGTTAAAACAGACAGAATACAAATAGGTTTTCACACGACTCTTAAAACCATCAACTGATGCTGCAGTTCTAATGTGAGGGGGAAGAGCATACCGTAGTGTAGGGCCGGCGACTGAGAAGATCACCTTTAGTTTTAAGACGAGTCCTTGGACAATTAAAAGACCTTTGAGGTCTACTGGAGTTCATAAGCACCAGGTCCTTGATATATTCCGGGGCCAACCCATGAACCGCTTTATAAACAAATAACAAAATCTTATACTCTATCCGATATTTCACAGGGAGCCAATGAAGCTCCCTGTGCAGTGAGCGCATGTCAAACAATTTGAAGCTTGTGACTATAAACACACACACAACCCCATCACATGTTCAGCGTTCATGATAACACTACATTCAGATTCATCAAACCCTAACCCCGATTCATCAACCGCAGTGGATTCAGTCCGACTGAGAGTAAAGCTGTGCCACTGTGCTGCTGTCTGGGTCGCTTCTCTGATGATTAAAACAATAAAAAAATATATACATTTGATTCAGATCTTTTATTCAAATCAGTTTGTTTAAAAGATCGTGTAACAGTTTGACTCCACATGCAAAATCAAGAAAAAGTCACAGTGAGCTTTGATTTAGTGAAGTTTAAGAGTGACTCTGGATTCGAGCATCACGTCGAGACCGGCATCGGCACTGCAGAACCGGATTAAAAATGAGCCCAATTTGTGTGGAATTTGCAGTGACGAAACCAAACAGAATACAGGAACGTGCTTGAATCGAATTTAAGGAAGGATAATCGAAACAGAGTGAAATTCATCGAGATTCAGTTGTGTGCCCATACATTCATCTTTTCAAATGTCAATAAACATATGAAGTGTTTCCAAAAACATGACACGATATTCAGTGATTTAAGTAATGACTGATGCCTGAAAATCAGCATGCCGTTTATATATTTCATTATAGGCTATTTAATAAATAAACTTTCAATTAATGTGTGAATTGACTTAATATGAAGCTATATAATCAAATCAGAATTTTAATGTGTTGAATTTAGTAAACTCCTCTTCCTGTCATTCCAATTCAACTTCCTGTGTGATCATGTGACCAGTTCGATCAAATTCACTCTAATTAATCAAAGGGTTAACAGTTAGAATCTGTGAGCATAAGCATCATGTTTTTGTTTGTTTGTTTCAATTGTAGAACAGCATAATTGTTTTAAGAACAGGCAGACTCTCCGCACATTATTATGCTTGTAGAAAACCTCGATAAATATTAGAGAAACTTACAAGCCTGAAACGGCAATTTCTGCGCAGTTTTTCCACCGACCAGAAATCACTGTTTGTGGTTAAAAATCCAAACGGCGAGTAGCCTAAATATAAAGGGTCTTAATCGCGCTGATCAGTGCACAGTTGCGCAAGCGCACTACAGCTGATGTTCTGAAGCCTTCTCTCGGCTCCGGTTCGGCTGATGAGGGTCAAATGTAACCAGATTCATTCGGGCTTGTGCATGTAGGACAGACACACAGAACCGAGCGGCCGCGCGCAGCATCTCGTGCACGCGCAGAAAATGCCGAACGAGCATCACCTTTGTCGTCGGTTCTGTCCTGAGGAATAACGGGAATAACGACACACCGACAGATGGAGGAATGATCGGTACCGGCCCGGGGTTTGACGATGAGCTGGACCGACGGCGCGGAGAGCGCGTGCAGGTGAGAATGCGCGTGAACACATTGATCCGCAGTGATTCTTTATATCGCACGGGCCTTTATTCTCTATATCAGCGCAGTTTCTGTGACATTAGGACTGATATTCAGATACAAGAGCTTCATCCATCAGTGGCTGCAGATGAAACCGCGATGTGTCCGCATTATGGGAGCCTTGTGTCCTCTGTAGTGGACAGATATTCCAGTGAGTGACTGGTGTCGTGTCTCAGTTAGAGATTCGGGGCTTTTCAGAGAAAATCTTCGGAAGTTTCATAATGACAACTCCTCCTCTCCTTTAAAAATCTGACATTCATTTAGTGATAAAATGTAACACACTGGAAATATGATAATGTTTCTATCATTTAAATTTCTATCATTTAAATTGTTTTGTCATAAATAAACACCTAAGGAAATCTTTATCGGGTTTCGAAACAAGACATCGATATCTTACACACATCCACTGTAGAGGACACCGGGTTTAAAGTGTGTTTAGCAGGCATCAGGGCAGGGGACAACAGTGATAGGGAAATAATTATATTTCATTGTTCCTCTAGGAAATAGGCCTATTAGATATTATCATGTAAATCTTGTCAATTACTTTTCCCATTATTACGCTTCTTTTTTCATTACATGTTGCCCCAGAAATACATTAATATGCTAATTAGATACAATGTGGATATATTGTATAAACCCGATTATGGCCATTTTACACACATATTGCTATATCAAATCATTCTGTTATATCTTTCATAACATCGTTTTCATAACATATACAAAGCTTGGTATATAAAATCCTATAATCATAATAATAATAAAATTAAAAATATTCGCCCCCCAAATTATTTTCCAGTGCATTTTTTACCTTTATGAATAACTTTATAAAATAATAATGTTTTAAATTAAAAATGTTCAATAGAGTAGTATGCATGGTGGTAAAAACAAAGTTATATTTTTAAACATGAAGCTAAAACTGCCAGTAGGTGGCGGCAATCCTTGTCTTAAAGGGAGAGTTTACCCAAAAATGAAAATTAGCCCATGATTATAATTAACCCATGAAGAATTTTACTTTGTAATGTGTTATTCATGATGGATGGATGCACTTTTATGATGGATAGATGCACTTTTAATGGACTTTTTAATATAACTCTGATTGTATTTGTCTGAAAGAAGAATGTCATACACCTAGGAGGATGGGTTGAGACTGAGAGTTAATCATGGGCTAATTTTCATTTTTGGGTAAACTATCCCTTTAATAAGCTGTAATATATAATAAGCTGCATCATTCAGTAGCAGAGCTGTGTTTATGATGAATCATTGCCTGATTGACTCATGATTCCTTCAGATTTGTTCACGAAACGGATGTTTGCTGTAGTTCTGTTGTGGCTTTCGTTGGAACTATTATTTCGTTGCAGAATAAAGTAAAATACTGACAGTGTTTAAAACGCACGTTCTAGTTGACCTGTTGTATAATAATCGATGTCACGGATATTTGGGAACAATTGCATTCCTGCTCGTTATCAACATTAAATAGCAACGACTCACACGAGGTCTGTTTTAGTATCAAAGAAAGTTTGAGTGTTCAATCCACTCCAGTAATGCTGATCTTTTACATCATTGTACATCAGCTCTGTCATACACACACACGGCGTGTGTTCGCTGCGAACGATGAGGCCGTTTTAATTCATAAAACATGCTCTGGTTTAATGTTATTTAAAGGCATGTTGGATTAAATGATCGGCTAGACTCTTTCTGTTCTCGTACTACTTTCTGGAAACATGTGTTTCATGTGTTCATTCGCAGATTCGCAGATCGCTCAGTGACGCAGTCGTTTAGTGTCGTGGGTGAATTGAAAATATACTTTTCAATTAAAATAGGCCAAAAATCTAAAGTGCAGATTTGATGCAAGGCATAGATGCTGTTTTATATTAAATGTCATCTGACCTTCATCCTAACAGGAGAGGGTGTACGAAGATGATGATAAATATGTATTCATCTCTCACACAACACAGAACAGCCTGTGTGTGTCATCATGATATAGTGAATATTGGGATATTTCACACACACAATATTGTTCAGGTCAAATTAAAGCGGGTTAGTCATATCTGTGTGAATGAACTCATGATTTATGGATGATGTTCTGCTTTCCTCAGGGATTTCATTGTGGATGGAGAGGGAAATGTGTGCAGAGCTACTGGTTACATGACGGGTAAAACACACACACACACACACACACACACGTCAGACAGTGAATATATACATCTATTGTGTAAATGACAATGGTTTGTGTGTTTGTAGATTGTCTGAGTGAAGACACCGACAAAGTTCCTCTTCAAACACACACTCTGAAAGAGTTTGAACAGGTGAGATGTGTGTGTGTGTGTGTGTGTGTGTGTGTGTGTGCAGGAGTTCAGCTAACCTCATCCGTGAAACTGTGTGTCCGTCTGTCGTGTAGAAGTGCGCTTACAGCGACACTGAGAATGAGTTCATCCGCTGAAATAAACACACTTCCAGTCAGTTCACCTTCATATACACATGTGAATCACACACACACACACACACACACACACACACACACACATGACTGCAGTCTGGGATCTGGTTGGCTCGACTGTGGCCGTCAGGGATTCTTGGGATTTCTGCCTGAGTAAAAACAGCTCGTCGCTCTGGAGTGTGTCCTAAAGCTCATCATGGGCTCTCAGCGCCGCGGCTCCGGGCCCTCGCTCTCCGTGTGTGTGTGTGTGTGTGTGTGTGAAGATGGCTGTGTCCTTATGATCAGTCATGTAGTTGAGGATCTTTTATTTCTTTTTGTGCTTTTGTAGTTGCTTTTAGTTGTGATGTGTGTGAGTGTTGGTAGAAGGGCTGTGTGATGCTCTACACACACACACACACACACACACACCGGACATGTCTAACACATACCGAACTCTCTCACAGCACCTCAACGACCTGAAGAAGGAGAACTTCAGCCTCAAGCTCCGCATCTACTTCCTGGAGGAGAGGATCCAGCAGAAGTTCGAGGACGGCGGCGATGACGTCTACCGGACGGTGAGAGCAGATCGTGATGATGTCATTCTGAATATATTTGCATAAACACCTTCAATAATACATTAAAGGTTCTGTACTGGTATCAGTGGTTCCATGAAGAACATTAAACATCTCTTCCACTGAGAGTTATTAATAGAGTGCTCTCCAGATTATTAAAATGTTCTTCATACTAAGAAAAAGTGATAGTTTATAGAGTTTATAGAGTTTATAGAGTATATGGAGTTTATAGAGTTTATAGAGTATATAGAGTATATAGAGTTTATAGAGTATATAGAGTTTATAGAGTATATAGAGTATATAGAGTTTATAGAGTTTATAGAGTTTATAGAGTTTATAGAGTATATAGAGTATATAGAGTATATAGAGTTTATAGAGTTTATAGAGTTTATAGAGTTTATAGAGTTTTTAGAGTTTATAGAGTATATAGAGTTTATAGAGTATATAGAGTTTATAGAGTTTATAGAGTTTATAGAGTTTATAGAGTTTATAGCTCCATTCTACTGTAAAAAAAATCTATTTAAAAAAAACGTAATTTGACCCTTCATGTCGCCGCCGCAGGAAAACGTACATTCGTTGATCCTGTTCGTCTCTGTGGTCTAAATCTGCCGTCGCTAAACGGATATCAGACCGAGATGAGAATTATGGGATATAGTTTGGGAACATCAGCGCTTCAGATCAGTCACTGAAATGAAATGAAATGAGTCCTTTGGGCTTTGGTGTGAATCCGGCTATCGTAAAAATGATAATAATAACTATAACTTACAAAGAAAAATAATATCTGTCAAAAATAAAAATAATACAACAGTTTATTGTTAAGTTGACAAATATACTGTATATATATATGTATATTATTGAGCTGTGTAGAAAACATCCTAACGTGCTGTGAGATATTGAGATATACATGATGAGACATAAATGATTAGTGTTAGTGTGCGTGTGTGTGTTGTGAAAGCGTTCCAGCGCCGCTCGCGGATCACACACACACACCCGTCGGTTCTGCTGAATCTCGCTTTAGTTGATCAGATTTACACCACATCTCTAACTTTCTTAAAAGTGTCTCGTAAAGGGTCGAATCACGAGGAACCAGTTTAAACACCATGTTTCAGTTCAACACACTTGTGCTAGTGTGTGTGTTTCAGCAGATAACACACTTGTGCTATATGTGTGTGTGTGTGTGTGTTTCAGCAGGTAAACAGTCGACAGCTGTTCACTTCAGTTGTGGTTCAGTTTCAGCTCTGCATTCCAGTCACTAAAAATAACCTGAGAGACGCCTGAGCCGCCTGTTAAATGACACGACTGATTAATCACACACACACACACACACACACACACACACACACACACACACACACACACTCTATGTAGAATATGAAGGCTAATGTGTGTACGTTTCTGCTGACCCTCGACATAAAGAACTGTCATCATTCCTAATACACACACACACACACACACACATTCACAGATGTTTGTTTGATTGCAGAACATCGAGCTGAAGGTGGAGGTCGAGAGTCTGAAACAGGAACTGCAGGAAAAACAGCAACTGCTGGATAAAGCTCTGTACGTACATCTCTCCTCCACACACACACACACACACACACACACCCGACGGGGTTAATAGCTGGTTATCTGATCTTTTGATCCTCGTTCCCGTTTAAAAGGAGCACACAGATGAACACACACACACACACACGGTGGCCATTCTGAGCCACAGCAGAAATATAACTGTGTGTGTGTGTGTGTTGTAGTGCTGGTAGATGTTTGACTCTCACATGAACTCCAGCCAGAACCGCACCACACTCGATCCATCAGCAGATGTTCAGAATTACAGCCATTATCCCCGCGCTCTACGGAGATCCACATCACTGACCGACACTTATAATGATGGAGTCACGGGTGAAGGGTTAGATAGACGTGTACACACACACACACACACACACTCCCCAACAGACAGACACATGGGAACAGGTGGAACCAGTGAAAATCACGTTTGCTGAAATCATGTGACTTTGCCTGTTTGATACACGTTCCAAACCTCAGATTCGAAACAAAAGATTCATAAATGTTAGAAACAGTGTTTGGAAAGCGCACTTCACTATGCAGAACAGGAAAGTTCACACAGGACTAGAGGAACACAGGCTTGGCCCATGACAGAAACACAGCGATACTGACAGACTGGGAAGAGAGGAGCCGCAGCAATGGAGAATATGAGGAGAATAATCAACATTCAAGCAGGAGAACATGATCTAGGAGAGCCTGAACACACACCAAGACTGTGTCAAAGGGAATAATAGCTTCTCTTTAAAACTATGATATTTGACAGAACAACAGCAGAGAGTCTGACCAATCACAATGAAGCGGAGTTGCAGAGACACTGTGAAGAGAGACAACAGGAGATCGATCACATGCAGCAAGTGCTGGAGAGCAAGATACAGATACTGCAGGAGGTACAACACACACACACACACACACACACACACACACATGATGGTGATGATGATGTGATGTGATGATGGTGATGATGATGATGATGGTGATGTGATGATGGTGATGATGGTGATGATGGTGATGTGATGATGATGATGGTGATGTGATGTGATGATGGTGATGATGATGGTGATGATGATGGTGATGTGATGTGATGTGATGATGATGATGATGATGATGATGATGGTGATTATGTGATGATGATGGTGATGATGATGATGGTGATGTGATGGTATGATGATGATGATAATGGTGATGATGGTGATGGTGTGATGATGATGGTGATGGTGATGATGATGATGGTGATGATTGTGATGTGATGATGATGATGGTGATGATGATGATGATGATGGTGATGATGGTGATGTGATGATGATGATGGTGATGATGGTGATGATGA